ACATATTTATAATTAGTAAATAAACAATGTGCAAGAGTTTACAAGTTTGATGCATGATATTCATTTGTTTTTTTTTGTGCAAACTGTTCTTTTCATACCATTAGAAAACTAAACAGTTATTCATATTTTTTTTGAGAAAATTGCTTCTGGCTTTTCAAGATCGTCGAGGGATTTTTTTTCTTTTACTAAAAACAAGTTATAATACACCAGCCTTCACCATGCTGTATTTCCCAACAAAAACCTTTGTCATTTCCTTGTGGACTTTAACCCACGTCTAAATAATTCCTCTCTGTGAACCACAAGCACAGCAAACAGCAAGGTCTTCACTTCACTAGAGATATTCAGACAATGGCCGAGGAAAAGGCAAAGCCAGATAATTTCATACACACAAGGGGAATACAACAAGAGGGGCATTTAAGAACAGTGCAAAGTGGACGGCTCTCAAGAACAGAACCTGAAGTCATAAGAGTCCAAGTGCAGGCAGGAGAAAATTCTTTACGGCGCGCTGGTGTGAGGTGTTACATACCCTGCTGGTTGTCCATGTGGGCCAAGATAGAGCGGAGACAAGATTTCTTTACTGGGAGAGATGGTGTATCCACAGGCCGTTTGAGCTGGATGAATTCATTAAAGGAAGCGCAGTCTCTCCCAGCTGCCATCTCTCCCCCTGCAGCCAGACTCCGATCAATGGCAGGAATACATCCAAAACAACATTTAGCACAAGACCTCGGAAGCAGGGGTGCATTTAAGACTTCTCTGTGTGCGCATATCTCCCCCGGATGAGAGAACTGTTTCAAAATATGTGCTTGAAGTGGAGCAGGGCAGGTATAGGGGCAATGTGTTTATATCACAACCGAGAAGATTGACAAGATATCCTTTTCCATTTTTTCTTGTGTGGAGAGTGTGTATCCATGAACATTTACTTTCATCTATGGGGCCCTCAGAAGCATTCTGCACAGATTTCTTCACATTTTCTACTGTACTAGCAGCTAACATTGTCCTGCCATTCATTAGTGTAGAAGTTACTACTTTGAAATGGTTTCTGTGACACGGATCTACTTTGCTTTAATAAGCCGTTTCTTGGTTTATTCTTCAATAATGACAGAAATCATTCTGGAGTTTATGACACTTAAAGCCCATATGTTTATATTAGTTATCTTTTCATCTCTCTGAAGAAATTTTAATAAGACTACATGAAATATTAATGTTTTAGTAGCCATTATGGTTTCATAAAAGGTAAATGTCTCTGGTTCCATCTAGTGGATAAAGGTAAAGGTGTTATTTGCAGTTGAATAGTAGAAGAGACTTGTTTAGCTTTATATTGAACAGAGAACAATAAGGTGATGTTATATAAATGTAAAAACTAATCACAGCAACTCTTACTATGCTTATTTTATGCAGTAATGTTGTAAATATCAGGTTATTTGTAAGGTCTTCAATTGTCTACATATGTAAGCAGTTAGCCTTTAAAATGAATAATGAGTAAAAAAAAATGTTAAAAATATCCCAATTTTTTTCTTCCACCAATTAAACAGAAAAAAGGAATGTCTGTAAATATGTCAAGTTTATTAATAAAATTATATTCTTTCTCTTTGTGCTGCCTTATCATAAACTTATTGTAGCATCTGACCCTTCTATTTTTCACTTACTGGTTTCAAAATAAAAAGAGCCCTCTCATTGCCTTTTCTGATCTTACAGGGAATCTTACAGGTCAGATAAAAATGCCTGACATGTGAAGCTTAATGGATTTTTAAAATGTTGTTGCACTTAAAAAAAAAGCAAGAAAAACTAAAATATTGGTAGCAAAGTATACAAACTGCAGAGAAGCAGAGAATCTGTATTCTCAGATTTTTCCTAAATTACCGTAACCTATGAGGCTAAAAGGGGGTGCAATAACCTTATATCACACTGAAAGTTTGAGGAAAATTTCCCTGTTTCATGATTTGTGTTTTTAGCAAAAACCTCATTAAAATATCTTAAAATCAGAGTCTGGAGAAGAATGGAATTTTAGAGAAAAATGTGTTGGAACCAAGATCTGAAGCAGTTAATTAAGATCAAACAATTTATTCATTCTAGCCTTTTTTATTTTTCAAAATAAAATTGAATAGAAATGTTTATTCTCTCTTCTAAATATATTGTTATTATATATTATTTTAGTATATTGTTACTTCCTAAAAATGAATGTTTCCCCCATAACATCTTGAACACAGATTTTTCAGGAAAAGCAAATTTTGTAGAACGACATAATGCTCTGTATGGGCTACACTTTAAGTTTTTCATGGTGTTGAAAAAGTATATGTTCTTTTTTTGTAATTGGCAGTGGTAAAATACAGTCAGGAAACAAAAATTTAAAAACAAAAAAATAATATGACAAGTAATGAGTTGGTTTAGTCGAAGTTGCTAGCTCGCATTTTCTTAAAAGAATGTATCAGAAGCTAAGTATGGAATCGGTTTATCTATCATTACTACATTATAGATTAAAAAAAAAACATTTGAGCTTTGTAATGTTTAATTAATATTATTATTGAGCTAACTTTCTAAGCCAAATTTTGCCCTGCTCATTAATTGGAGACCAATACAATCTGTGCTGCTTCCTATTAAGTACCTTTTTTTGTTTAGGTAACTCATAAAACATCACTGAAATGGTAGCCTAGCCAGAAATGTAACACAGAGCGTACCATAATCCTTTTGGGGTTCAGTTTAGTCTCTTGTCAAACAAAAGTTTAACATATGGCAGAAGATCAAACTCCTGATCTTCCATCTGTAAGTCAGCTGATCTAACTCTGATCCCCAGCACCCCCCTGCTGTCAACTTATAGGTTCCAATCTTATTTCATGTTATAGTGTACAAAGCTGCCGAAGTATGTCAGAACACAAATCTTTCACTTAACTTAAAGAGAGGCAGCGATGCTATGTCATGTAATCTTGGTGAAATTGTTAAACAGAGCACAATAAAGAGTTTGCAAAATTTTATCAATCTAAAAACCAACCATGTACCTTATAAGGAATGCCACACAATCTTGTAGCCTATTGAAAGATATGAATAAAAAGTCAATTACCTCTTTGGATTAAGTATGTCTATTTCAGATGTTTACACAAACCATTTTGTTATTAAGTAAGTGACACAATGTTTAGTAAAAGAAAAAAAACAGACCTCGATAAGAAATGTGACCTAAAATACATTTTAATAATGTAGGTTTATTTAAAAAAAGTAAGAATGAATGATACAGTTTTTCCTCAGCAGAACTATTAAGATACAATTTAAACAAAAATATAACATATCTGATGATGTGTCTTTAAGGGCTGAGCCAAAGCAGTCATACAACTTCAAGTTACTGCTAAGGATTCATTTTAACATTACTGCTGATTCCATTATGATCAAAATCAGTTCCGCCCATTGTCTATATTTTGGCTTGAATCTACAAATTCTAAAATATACCATGTTGCTCTTGTTCTAAGTGAAGGCTCTAAATAATAAAAAAAGACGTTTCTTTTAGGAAAACAGTAACTTTTCCCGAGAGGGCAGTTTCTATTAATAAAAACAAATAAATAAATAAAAAATACCAGAACAAAAAGATATGAAAAGAAAAATAAGGCTGCCCTCATCAAACAGCTGAAGCTGTGTTTTTCAGAATGCTATGATTCCATTTAAGCATGTTTTCTGGGGGAAATTGATTATCTGTTTTTGACAGATGTATAATCACAAATGTATACAGTGCTATATACTAACTACCACTAACTTTTCACTTTTCCACTTTAAAACCACAAACTTCGATGTTTTATTAGGATTTTTTGTTATAGCTCAAAACAAAGCAGTGCATAACTTTGTTATTTTGTTTCTGACATCTTGTTCTTTTTTTGCAGATGAAATACTAATAGTAGTGGGATGGAACAGTACTGGAAATGACTCAAATTAAAACATACGTAGTTCAGCAAATCAGAGGTCATATAAGTGGAAAAAAAGGTCCACATGTGTTTGATTTGACTTAACAATTGTTCTTTGAAGGGCTCAGAGGTTTTCTTAAAAATATTAGTGAACAAGCAGCATTATAAAGACCAAGTAACAGAGCAAAGAGTTCAGGTATAATGTCTCTAGAGGTTTAAAGCCACAGTTAGCTCATACAATCTCCAAACTTTAAATGTCTAAAATAATTTTAATTAATCATCCAAACCTAGAAATAGTTTATTCAATTCTAAAGAGTCTATTCTATTATAATCTAGTAGAACAAAACCAACAAACACATGGCCATGCATCTATACTTATAGGCCAGCTAAGAAGTGCACTAATCAGAAAGGCAGCTGGATAACCCAAAGCAACTTTGGAAGAGCTGCAGAGATCATAGCTTAGGCGGTAGGAACCGAAGACGGGACAACTAATTGTCATGTTTTGCTCAAATGTCCCATTAACAGTCCACCAATTTGTGCATTCCACAAATTGTCATAAGGACAGCCATAAACAGTCTTACACGCAGGCATAGGAGGGGACACAGCAAATGTTCAAAGATGATGTACTAAAGTTCTTTTTGGTCTACATAGATAACACTACGTATGTTTGGCAGAAACTTAACATTGCACTAATAGCAGCATTTACAGACAATTTCATACTAAAAGTGACTTGAGACTAGAGCAGTTTAACTTCCAGTATCAGAATGACAATGGAATCATTAAGATCGAATCATATTAATCCTTCCATTGTCAATCACAATGGGAAAAGATTTTAATCTTTAAAGTCTTGTGGAAACTTCTTCCCAGATGCTCACAGCTGTAGTTACAAAGGGATGAATATACTTGCAAACCACAACTATAGGACCACAGTTTCTTCCTCCTTCATAGTCTTGATAGCTTATGTTGGTCTTCCGCGAAAAAAAGTCATTGTAAAATACATAGAAGTTTGTGGTTGTAAAGTTTCACCGAGTTTCAGTGTTCTTGCATTGCATGTAAATGTTAAACAGCCTTTGGGGATATTCACACCTGGCATATTTGGTATGTTTAAACAGACCAGAGTTCATGTCCCCGCTTAGTATAAACCTTTTGTGCAGGTGTGATTAGACTCATCAACACCCTGATTAGGACCATATAACCAGTCTTAGACTGCCTTTTGGAGGTATCAGTTGGTTTTCCAAAGTGTACCATGCAGTTAATTTCTGGTGAGACTCTCTAGCTAGACCTGAAGCAGTAGTAAATGTTAGACAAAAGTCATGCCTGATCTTCTTTTGCTTTGCTAAACTGCTACCAGCATTACGTGGGTTAGGAGATGCAAATCCCTTATTCTCATTCGGCTTGCAGAACGCATCCAGCAAAGCTGTTCCAAAATTAGAAACTGAACATTGCACAATATGTGTTAAATGAGTTTTACTTGACACTGATTTTTTAACTCAAGTAAAAGCATAATTATGCAACAGAGAATGAAGCTGACACAACTTTAAAGATAGCTATCCTCAATTTCTGGGTATGTGCTCTGTCTCGATCTATTCAGTGCTGTTGAAATGAAGCAATGGTTGTCATACAACTGGCTTCGTTTTTTAAGAAATAGCAGATTTGAACAAAATGGAAATTGTGAAAGACAAACACCACAAATAATAAAAAAAAAAGAAGTCTGCTTATGGTCCAAACCAAACAAGCAGACCAAAAACCTTTCCCGGTTTTAATATATCAGTTAAAGTTTGTAGTTTCCCTCCCTGATATTGTAAAATGAAACAATTTAACCCTTAAGCACTGTATATGCTAAGCCTCAATAAGCAAAAAAGCAATAAGTCATGGTTACAGTCTGTGAAACAGGTTTCCCTAAATGTAGAAAATGTGACGGAGCCAGAAAACAATCTTTTTTGCAAACTGAAAGTTCTAAAAGTTAGAGTTTTTCTAAAAGTGAAAAAGAAAGTTGGTAAATGTTCCACTTTGTGAAAACTACAAAGTTCTTCTTCTGAAAGGCACAAGATAGAAAAGGGTGTTGAACAAAACCCAGAGTGAGCGGTGCGTGGGGGTCTCTTGGGGCCCACTTCACAGGCTGATCCGGGTACAGTGGTGCTTTAGTCTGCAGGGGAGGATCCCGCGGTTTAACTGGTAAAACTCCACTAACTGGATCAAGTCAGTAAATCGTGTGTGACCATCATCCAAAGTGTAGAACAGCTCACCGTCATCCTCCACCTTAAGTGGATCATAAAAACACACACATTCATAAGTGCAAAAAACAAACCAAGAAAAAAAAGCAAACTGTTGATTCTGTGCAGAGGTTATTTTAAATGTTTATCTGCTTTTCCCCAAGACTGTAACAATACTAAATAAACATTCATTAAGCATCACATGATGACCTCAAATATACAACTACTGTACAGTCACATATTACCTTTTGTGAGCCAGAAGACCCAGACACAGAAATAATCATAATCTTTAATCTCACAAAACATGTCGGACTCAGGTCTTATATGTACAGAATATGAAAGCAATATAATCTTTATCTTCAGTTCAATCCTTGTTTTAATGTTTTTAAAACAATATTTCAAAAGATCTTTGAGAAAAGTATAAAAAATACCTATTCATAAAGATTTATGGCAATTCCCGAGGACAAATTAGGGGCTTGAGTGTCAAGTGTTCAGCTTCTAACCAACTTCACCGCTGTATGATTATGCATGACAGCTTTTAACAAAATCACGTTACCACCATTTCTATCTTGACATGTGGAATTGCAACGGTCACTATAGCAGCATAGATGGTATAACGTTATGCATAATTGTCATCGCGCTTGTTTACTGTACAGAGCACACATGGTAACAGTCATAAGGCATGATTTTTCAGGTTTATGAGTAATATCTCCGTAGTTCCTGGGCCAATCCATATGAAAAAAAAGAAAAAAAAAAAAGAATTCTACAACATGAACGCAAATTATTTTCTTAATAAATGATTCAACATACATTAAACAGATTAATAAGTTGGTCGATTAATAAGGGCAAAAAAGCATTGGGGCATTCTTTGGTTTTGTCCATTTCTTCTCTGTTTTTTGGCCACACAGAGAAATTTCATTAGCGCCCAAGGAATAGGTAATATACTGTAACTGCTGGAGCCGACATTTCCAAACATTTAGGAAAACACGGAACAAAAACACACCAAAGTGTTTTTTATATATATATATATTTATATATATATATATATATATATATATATATACACGTATATATACATAATATACAGGAAAAGATCTATACAATATTTATAGAAGAAGAGACGATTATATTACTGTAAGTGTAATAGTATTTAATTAAAAAAAAGGCAGTAGTTTTGCAAAAACAATAATTATAAGTGCATTTTAAGGGGGAATAAAGTTGTGAGGGCTTTAAGATTTGAGATTAATTTGGTATTTGCGGTAAAGGAAGGATCAGTTTCCGGTATAGGTTAACTATGGATTTAGTTAGCTTATTGTTTATATGATTTGCAGATTGTATGTATTTCTTTATTTCAGTATCTAACGTGAATAAAGAGGGTGCTGTTTTATTAAATTTTCTTTCAATATACCCCAGTGTTTTTAGAGATTTTTATCATTTTATTTACCTATTTCATATTATATGTTTCATGCTGCACGATTGTACCATAAAAAATTCCTAGTTGTGAACTCCTTCACTAACAATGGCAATAAACCCGATTCTGATTTCGATTCTGATTCTGAATAGAATATACAACTATAAATGTGACATTTTTCCAAATAACATAAATAGATTAATTAGTTTTGTCAGTTCCTTGTTTGGGTGTGTAAAAAAGTGTTTAATTTTTTAGATCAGTACTGCTCTATTGCTTTTCATGAAGGATGTGGTTACAGGCCTTGTAAAGAATAGGTGATGGGTT